TAACAATGTGGAGACAGAAAAATACAACTTTGAGTATTTGTGGGAATACTACACCACAGAGAGAGAGAGAACAAGTCACTGGAACCCAACCACAAAGACATGAAGATCTCTTCTTATCAGCTACAGAGTTCAAAACTTTCATGATCAGGAAATTCAAATATGTGGAAGAAAACTCAGAAAAGCTGATCAAAGATATACAAGAAAACTCAGAAAAAGAAATGAATGTTTTGATAAATAAAATTAATGAACATAAGATTGAAATTGAAGCTTTAAACAAGAAAATAAAAAAAGATGCATGATGTAAAACGATCAATAGATGAGTTTTAAAAAAAGCTGTGGAAGAAAAATAGACTAAATGGAAGGTCGAATCAATCAGCAACCTTAAAAATGATAGTGCACAAATAATTCAGGTGGAAGAAGAAAGAGATTTACAAAGAAAAAAAAAATGAAGAAATACTTTAAGAATTATCTGCCTCCATGAAGAAAGGAAATCATCACTCCTAATAAGAAAAATATAGGTTAGGAACTACAATAAGATACCACCTCACACCCATGAGAATCGCACATATTAAAAAGACTCCCAACATCAAGTGCTGGAGCGGATGCAGAGAAAAAGGAACCCTATTACACTGTTGGTGGGAATGTGAACTGGTGAAACCCTTTTTTTAAAGCAAAAGATTTACCTTAAAAATTAAAAATGGAAATACCATATGATCTAGCCATCCCACTCATGGGCACATACCAACAGATTATGAAACCATCAACAAAAGAACCCATATGTTCCGTAATATTCATAATAGCAGCAGGTATAATAGCTGGGCTATGGAACAGCCTAAATCCCCTTCAAACGGACCAAGGAGATGAAGTATATATTTTATATAGCCACAAGAAAGAATGAAACGCAGCCATTTCCAACAAAATGGAGGGAATTTGAGAGAATTACGTGCAACAAACTAAGTCACAACAATAAAAACAAATAGTAAATATTCACATGACAATTTGACACCATAAGTAAAACACTTTCAAAAGCTAGTGAACATCAGCCAACATCCTGAGCGTCTGAAAGCAAGAGTGATGGGGCAGGGGACAGAGGAATGGTGATAGGGAAAAAAAAAAAAACCTTTTTAAAAAATAAAGAAAGAACTATGAGTTTGAGCTGCCAAAGGAAACCAGAAAAAGGAACTGTCCAGAGAGAGAAACCACTCTTGAGCAGTTAGCTCATTCCCCTTGCAGAAGCTATGCATGCTCCACCCCTCAGCAAACTCACCACAATGTCTGTGTTCAGATTGCCTGGGGCACTGCCAGAGAGCCAGGCAGAGGGGAGCTTTCCTGGAAGGAGTGTCATCCCTGCCATCCAGGGGATTTCTTGAGAAGCCATGTGCTCCTAGGACCACCTCACTCTGGATACTCCTCTCCCCCACTGCAACACACTCAGAAAACAACAAGCAGAGAGACATACGGGCAGTCTGACCTTGCGGGCCACAGACTGTGAGTATAAGAAAAAGCTGATGCTGCTGAGCCACAGGGACCTTGTCTGTGTGTCCCTAGACAATCAAACTCTGAACCTGGGTGCTGGGGAGGCAATGCAAGAGCAGAAACACCTGGCAGGTATTTTGGGGGGGAGGGGGAAATCACCAAACAAAGGAGGATACAAATGGATTTTTTAAAAAGATGCCTTAGTATTTAAAATAAACCATCCAGGTTTTATCTTCTGTATTTATTTCCTTTGTTCATTGGGTCCTTATATTTTCCATGATCAATAACCACCCCCTGTACACATAAAATACTTCACAAATTTTAAGGACTAGAAAGATTCAAAAATTAATCTCAGTAATTTTACAACTATTAAAAGATTTGACTGAGTTCTGAACCAATTCAACGAAGCCAGCAGCACTGAAATTCATCACAGAGTAATCCCCTAAGTCTGCTTCCCTTCAATGTAATGAGCCAGTATAAGAACAGATCAAATCTGTCCAAAAGCTTTAATCTTCTTTCAAATCACAACGTGTAGTCCTGGCTAGACTAAAAACTGCAGAGGACATCCTATGTAACAATGAAGTTTCCCCTTGAATCAACCCCTTTGGAAATTGCTCAGAGTGCTGTTGTCCAACTAGCCTGCTGACATCTCACTTCCAGCTATTAAATGGCTTCTAAGGGTATTAGTGCAAATTCAATCCATTTCCACTACGTTGCAAATACACATTGACAATTCAAAGAAAGACATGTACTAAAATTCAGTTTAGCTCCTTGAATAAATATGAAATATCCTGTTTTATGGACATACTCTCATTCTGGCAGCTACAAGTGCCTAGGCTTGAGAGTAAAGACATCACTGACAGTTTGTCACTTCGACTTCTCTTGCTTTATCAGACTTTATAATTTTACATTCCTCTGATATAATCACAGCTTTTTTGGGGCAAAAGGGGCATATTTATTTTGAATTTTAGGGCTAGATTACAGCCTTTACACAGCATTTTCTATGTTGTTTTCCACCCAGAATATTACAAATACAATCCTTTTCTCTACTCTACTACCACTTCCTCAAGTCCCTTGCCCAGGATTCAAGGCAAAGTCTTCAGAAGTTCTTTAGAACTGAAAGACAGAAATTTGCTGAGAGAAGAAACCAAAAATAAAATGACCAACCAACTTCAAAGGCCAAGATGGTTAAGAAAGCAAGTCTTGGCTAAAACAAGCAAATAAAAGAAAACCTGCTCTGAAAAGTTGGTCTAGTTTTGACTACTAGTCTTTGCATATCAAAACATTAAAACAGTAAGTACAACAAGTCATAAAACTCATTCATTTGAACTTTAGGTTAGTGTAAGAAGTTTTCCGACCTTGAAATTTTATGTCTATAATCATATTTTTAAGTGCGTTGTAATTTACATAAAATAGTTGTACTTCTAATTTATATTTTTATCTCAGCACAGGCAAAATCAACAAAAGGTATATATTTATTAAAATTTTACCTTTTCTATATATTAGGTAAGATGACATTTTATTTTTCCTATACCATTTTATTTTACTGATAGCAGAATAAGCTCCCTGGGTTACTAATAATTCCAGAGGCATCTTCAGTGACCAGTATTCAAAAGGAAAATTCATTTCTAGAACACTTGAAACACAAACCAATTAGGAGGCTTTTGTGAGCATCCTAAAACATCTTTAAACAACTATAGAAAAGCAGACCAAGTACCCAAAGGAAATGAGAATCATAGTCCTATAATGCACTAGAATTTAAAAATATCTGGTATTTTTTGCAAGTTCTCTGTTTCATCATTCCTCAGAACAGCTCTGAGAAGTAGATATTATTACCCTCATTTGCAGATGAGAAGGAAGAAGCAGAAAACATGGAAGCACGGTCTTCAGAATATTTCTCAAGGTTACAAAACTGAATAAACTAGAATTCAAATCCAGCCAAAGCCCACGTTTTAAACATCACTAAACAATGAAATGTTTTTTATTTTACCACCAATGTAACTGGACTCCTTAGTATGGTCAAAGAATTTTAGAGTGGAAGAATCTTAGGAGCATCAATAAGAAAGCTGAGGCCTGGAGGACTTGAAAGCATTCTCTGTGACTACTAGAACCAGGAGCAGAAGGCACTCTGCTCTCTGAGTGAGGTTTCCTATCATCTCCGCCTCAAATGGGTTGAGTATCATTTCTCCTGCTTGGTTTCAAACATCTGACTTCTACAAATGACACAGTATATTTAATCATGTCTAGGTATAGAAACTTTTTCCTTTCGACATGCTTATTGCATTTCAGAGTTAAGACAAAAGAAATGAGAAAAATTTAGTCTAGTAATTTTAAATTCTGAAGATTTAAAACATCAAAACAATCAGCATCATGAACACACGGCCAGCAACAGGAAAGGAAAGCCATCAAAGCCGCTCCTTAGATTTTATTTAACAAGTTGGAAGGAGAATCCCAGCTCCCATCACAAAACATCTTACATCAGACACAAAATCTGTTTGGAAGGCATTAAAGAAATGTTATTATTAATGCTGTTTAAAAGCAGAACTTAAGTGCCATGGGGAAAGAAATAAAATAATCAAGTTGTAAATATATCATTTAATGTTACAATAATGTGTTATAACTACCAAACCACTTCTCTAACATGCTGATTTCAAGTCTCTCAATATCTTCTAGAATTTCTAGCTTCACACATATACTTTCAACCTTTAATGGGTCAGTCATTTGCAAGAACTCCCAGATTTCCTTACCACATATGAACTGTTACTCTAAAACATATTGATTACAAATTTTAACTTTTAAGTCAAAAGAAATTTAAATGTGTATCCATTCAAAGTCCATAGATATTTTTTATTTAAAAAAATACCTTTTGTATGAAAACATGTTAAATAAATATTCCTAAAAGGTGATAACTTGAATATGTCTAGGCAATAAAGTTGAAAACACAGCTGTACATAGGTAAAGGAAAGACAGCTACTTTACTATAAGTAGCGCCCAACATTTGGGTCAGAGTGACTCCTGGGAAAAACCAAAATAGCTCTGTCACCACCGGGTTTCAGTAAAAGACAGGAGCTAAAGCTGTGGCGGGGCTCCTGCCCACCTTTGACTATGCTGGGCGTTCTCTTTTTTTCTAATAAACCTGTCTTTTACAAATAAAAAAAAAAGGATAAAAAAGTCAGGAGCATAAGTTAAAACCCTAAGTGTGGTGTCCACCCTTCCTGTGAATCCAGACAAAACCAACAACCTGCAGTCCAGATTTCAGTGTGAGTTTAAGTGCTTTAATTAAAGGAAGGAGTTACCAAGCAAGGTTTTGGAATGTCATTCACTGAAAGCCCTAAAATAGTACAAATTTTCATCTGCCTGCCACCAGAGGGACAAGCAGATGATCCCTCATAGTTCCTGCTAATGCTGAGAGACCACTGTCAAACCAGACCTCGGGAAGGCTCTGTAAACATTCATTCTTTAATTGGTTTTCTGGGCGATGCTGGCAGGTGCAAGGGAGCAGGGCAGCCAGTGCCAGGGCTCACCTCCTTCCTCACGGGGGTGCTGTGTGCTGCAGCAGCCTCAAACTGTTCCAAGGCCTGTCGCTGCTCCTCGCTGCTAGGCTCTGGAACTGGCTGCGCCCCTGCGTGCCCCTGCGGACCTGCTGCCTCTTGGGGCTCGGCCTCCTGCTCTGGCTTGGATTCCGAGTCTGATCCTGATTCAGTCGTCATGGTTGATTGTTCTGCAAGCAGAAAAAAGAAGGTTCCATCAGTCAGTGTAATTATGTTCCCTAGGCAAGAAAACTAGGACGCTGCATGCAAAAGGCTGAAGAGAAGAAAAAAAGAAGAAATGCTAACAAGTCAGTCCTATGGCACACATCTAACAGAGGACTTGTCAGATTACCACAAAGGCAGGCACCCATGAATGCTTCAAAATGAGCATTTAACTAGAAGCCAAGTTGACTTGTAATGATTACAGGCTTTCTTCCTATTCAATTTTTTTTCCCCACTGGAGACTGTCAAGTGACATTACTGTCCTAACAATTATATAACTTTGATACATTTAATTTCAGAAAAATCAATTTCTTGCCCTGATTGGTTATATATTTTAATCTCTGGGAAGGATGAGTTAATAATGGAAGCAAAGATTCTTTCTCATTCCCTTTCTCCTCCTTTTCTCTACGCAGGAGATTGCCTCTCAGAATTACTGAATCTCATATGCATTCTTCCATGCAAAATGTCTTTACTCTTTGATTTCTCATAGCTCTGTTATCTCCCTTTTGAATTAGCAACCACAGTCACAATGGGGGTTTCTTCAGGGATATGGAATTTGTCTCCAACAGGACAAGTCTGGCTACAGCTAGAGGGAAGCCAGACAGCACCCTGTCTCCTGCCCTCACGGGTTAATTCTTAACATACTCCCTTCTGGCTTGTTCCAATTTCTCTGGAATGCTGAAAGATGAATTGTCTGTCTCATATCTCACTAGCAACTCAAACAATGGATCTTAATATATAGTAATTCTAAAAAAATTTTTTTTTAAAGATTTATTTATTTATACAAGAACCAGGGTACAGGCCAGATGTGCGGGAAGGTGAGGATTCACCAGAGACAGAGCAGGGAACAGAACAGGCAGACTGACCGAAATACACTGCTGAGGGGAGCAGCGGGGGAGACAGGAGAGGTCTGCCACGCCATGTGGGTTGCTCTGTGGCTGGCGGGGATTGAACCGGCACTGCAGAGGCTGCGGACAGCTTCACAGCACTGCGCCACCAGGGAGGCCCTCTAAAAATCTTTTAAAATAAAACCACCCTCTTCTAATAGCTTGCTAGTCAAGGCACTTAAGTATTTTTGTGTCTCAGGGCCCACATCTGCCAAATAAGAGAAACAAACATGATCATATCTAAAGAACTGGGCTCCGGCTGTTCCATCTCTCACTACACATAGACATGCTACTAGGTTTAAAGCAGGTGTGTACTCTAAGTAGTGGTTACTAAGTCATTTTAAATGATTTCTTATTTATTTATTTAATGATTTTTTTTTTAAAGATTTATTTTTATTTATTTATACAAGCACTGGGTACAGTCAGAAGCGCGGGAGGGTGAGAGAATTCACCAGAGCCAGAGCGGGGAGCAGAGCAGGCAGAAGGACCGAAATACACTGCTGAGGGGAGCAGCGGGTGGCAGGAGAGGTCTGCATGCCATGTGGGACCCTCTGCTGGTGGCCGGGGAGCAGCCGGGGATTGAACCGGTGCTGCAGAGGCTGCGGGCAGTTTTGCAACCCAGCGCTCAACCGCTGCGCCACCAGGGAGGCCCATGATTTTTATTTAAATGATTCTTATATTTTAGGTATTATGGTAAATACCTCAAAAATAGTATCTCAGCTTGTCTCATAAGTTCCTTTGCAATTCAAATTTTATGGTAAAAATATTATGAACAAAAGGTTAGTGTGATACTTTGAGCAAATGATATACTCATTAGATAATGTAGAATTATGCCAAAAAAAAAAAACCCACAGTAAAACCACTTTTTAGTTCCTTTCACAATAAGCATTGAGATATGTTTAATAATTTGAAGAGGGGGGCCTCCCCTGTGACGCAGCGGTTGAGCGCTGGGTTGAGAAGCTTCCCACAGCCTCTGCAGCACCAAGGGTCCCCACATGGCGCGCAGATCTCTCCTGTCACCCGCTGCTCCCCTCAGCAGTGTACTTTGTCAATCTGCCTGTTCTTCTCTCTGCTCTGGCTCTGGTGAATTCTCTCACCCTCCTGCGTTTCTGACTGTACCCAGTGCTTGTATAAATAAATAAAATAAATCTTTAAAAAAATTATTTGAAGAGGGAACACCAACACTACAAATACAATTTATATCATGAGTTAAATGCCATATCTATATTTTCTATTTAGGATTATGTTTTTACCCTCACCAGTTATTCTTTCTGTTGAATAAAAAACATCTCAAGTCAGCATGTGTCAGTCGCCCAGAGTGTACGTAAAGATCAAGCTCAAGCAGGGAAAGACAGTAATGCCAAACAAAACTAATTTTTTTCTTCTTTTATATTATAGATTTTCAAGCAAATCTTCAAAGTAAACATTACATTCTCTTTTGTGTTTATGATGTAAAGTGTTGAGGCTTCAGAATAAAAAAAAAACAGTGGCAAGAGGGAAAGGTAGTGGTGTTACATGATTCAGAGCCTAAAATAAGTCCTTTCAGAGGGAGAGGATTAATTTCAATAATCACTTAAAATTACTAAACTCTTACTAAGTACCAAATAGAAGTCAAGTATGCTCACAGCTTGGAGACATAGATAAATAAATTGTAGCTGCTCTTCCCTCTCCAAAGAGCTCACAGTCTGTGGCCCTAGTAGACTCTCCCAAGAATCCATTGTCCACACCTTTTTTTTTTAAAGATTTATTTATTTATTTATTTATCTATTTATCTATTTATTTATTTATTTATACGAGCACTGGGTCAGAAGCGCAGGAGGGTGAAAGAATTCACCAGAGCCAGAGTGGGGAACAGAACAGACAGACTGAAGAAACACACTGCTGAGGGGAGCAGCGGGCACGACAGGAGAGGTCTGCTGCACCATGTGGGACCCTCACCGGTGGCAGGGGATTGATCCGGCACTGCAGAGGCTGTGGGCAACTTCATAGCCCAGTACTCAACCACTGCGCCACCAGGGGAGTTCCCATCCACACCTTTCTTTTCCTTTTCCACCTTCCTTACACCTTCAGTTTTAGCTGGTACTCTTCCAATCCCCTAGAAATCACTATGAACTGTGGGCACGTGGTTAAGCCTGGACTAGTGAAACAACAGAGAAAATGTACTTGATGTTTAAGTCCTCTCCACAGTAACAAAGTCACTTGACCTAGATTTCCTTTCCCATAGGCTAGAAAACAATGACTGAAATGGTGCTCTGGAGACGTAGTCACGAGCTCCTGATTTCAGGAGGACACCAGAGCCACCTGTCCAGCTGTGCCTCCAGATGTCCTGCAACAGCCCACCTGCTCTGGATTGCTACAGGGCAGATTCATCTTGTGTCTTCTTTGAGCCTCAGTACAGTAGCTCAAACACAATCCAACAGACATGTTACAGACTAAAATTCTACCAAAACGTACAATATGCTCCAGAGGTTCCCATTCACAAAAAGCAAATAGCCTTGCCTTGATCTCATATCTTTCATCAGCTACTCCCGCGTACTCTGCTTTCAATGCATAATTTCCAAAAAATTTTTTCATTGACCCTGCCTTCTACCCATTCCTTTGTTCTTTCTCAGCAACCCTCCAGTCTCACCCCACTGAGGGGTCTGTATGGTCAGTGCAATGGACTATCTACTCATTTGTTCTCATTTCATCTGACCTCTTTGAAGCCACAGACAGGGAACAAGCCTCCTTGTCAACCCATTCCCTGCTCTCATTGCTGCTTTCCTTCTCCTCTCTGGCTACTCCTCATTCCCTTTTACAGAATACTCCTTATCCAGCCTCTACATGTGGTGATGTCCTGGAAAATGCTTCTTCCCAGACCTGTAAATACTTTCTATTAGTAAAAAACTCACATACTCATATTTCTAGTATAAACCTCTGTCCTTAGCTTTAAAATTAGTCTCCAACTCCAGCCCAATTCACACTAATCTCTTTCATGCACCCATTGAATTTTCTTTCCCAAATCTGTTCCCTTCTCCCTAATCACCCTCAACTCAATAAATGCAATTCCATTCCCTCACACCAAAAATCTGTAAGTCACTCCAGATAATTTTTACCTTTACTTTCTTACGAATATACAATAGAAAGTTTTGCCTGTTCTGTTTCCAAAACATATCTTGAAACAGCCCCCTGCCACTCCACCAAGCATCATTTCTTTCCTGCACTCCTTCAATAACCTGCAACTGTTTATCCCTGCCTCTTCCTATCTACCTCTGTCTGATTGTCAGAAAATGCAAATCTAGGCATCTCATTCACTGCTGAAAACTCTTCAAGAGCTTCCCAATGTGCTGAAAGCAAACTACACTGTTCATTACCAAAGCTTTTGGTGATAAGCCAGGTCTCCACATCCAATCCACCCCCGGCAGTATCCCAGCGGTCCATTCCACTGTGATCCATCATGCAGCCTCCAGTAAGTTTTAAATCACACCAAGTTTTGCTGTCTGGGGTAATTTAGACACACTGTTCTCTTTGCAGAGATCATTCTCCCCCTGCTCTTCAAGAGGAGGACTCACCATTTGCCAAGTGTTGACTGAGAGAGACTTTCCCTTTTACACAGTCATTCAAACTGTGCTTCACTTCCTTCCTGTAATTTTTCAAATTTTATCATTACTCAATCCTCCCTGACCTCTTTACCATACTCTCAGCACCAACATAGTAGGTATATAGTAATAATTACTTGATGAGTGAACACATAATAAAATCAATCCCACTTGTTAACACATCTGTATATTTAAAGTGTAATAACTATTTTTTATTGTCTTTAACCCTAGTAAAATAACGCTTTTTTTTAAAGATTTATTTATTTATTTATTTATTTTGTTTATTTTATACAAGAACTGGGGTACAGGTCAGAAGGGCAGGAGGGTGAGAGAATTCACTAGAGCCAGAGTGGGGAACAGAACAGGCAGACGGACCAAAGACACTGCTGAGGGGAGCAGTGGGAGAGGCAGGAGAGTCTGCTGTGCCAGGTGGGGTTCTCCTTGGCTGGCGGGGATCGAACTGGCGCTGCAGAGGCTGCGGACAGCTTCGCAGCATGGTGCTCA